GACAACCGATGCTTTGAGATGTGTGACTTATCTAAAGCTTCCAACCTCATGACATCCAGATATCTATACAAGTGGAAGTTTGTGAAGGTAGGCACCGAGAATGTTAAAACCATCCGTCTCAGATTTGTCCTTCGCGGATTCATGGACACGGAGGCGTTCGATGTAGAAACCTGTTCAGGAACTGCTCGAAGACAGTCCCAGGGGCTCCTGGCAAGTGAGGCGGCACGTCATCCATAATGGATCTTAGCATCTATGGACATCGACAAAGCGTTTCTCAAAGGACTGACCTATGAGGAACTTGCTCATGCCACCGGCGAGGAAACTCGCGTGGTTTGCTTTACCCTTCCACCAGGAAGTGCCCAGGTGCTTCGTGCAGTACCAGGCTTCTCTTCTTACGATGAAAGCCGACGCTGCCTCAGGTGCCTCAAGCCAGGAACGGGTACAAAAGGGCGCCCCAAGAGCGTTCTCCCTCAAGCTTCGTACGACCACGCGAGCTATAGGCCTCACACCGACAAGTTACGATCTTGAGTTTGAATTCAGTCAGGATCTGTCAACGGCAAAACATGTCGACGACATCAATATGACAGGCCTAGAGAACAACGTAGATGACTATGTACAACGTGTCGAAAAGGTGTCTGGTAAATGCAAGCTCAACAAACATGAAGAATGAACAAGGGGATGTGATCATGGATCAGGACGAGTACATGAAACAACTACGTCCTATCACACACCCTGAACATACGGGAGCGGCGGCAGACGCCAAAGCTACCAAACTCATCACCGACATGTCCGTTGGCCTGCGAGGAGCTCTCGCCTATGCCCTTCTTACTCAAGTCTGGCTCGTGGTGCACGTGGTCTCTCTCCAGAAGATCCAAGAGCCCACCAACTTACAAGTCAGGCGACTGCATGCTGTGACGCGAAAGCTGATCTGCAGCCCGAAACGCATCACCTTCCCTCGGATGAAATCGACGAATGAAGTAGACGTACACAGTGATTCGGGGTATCGGAAGCTCACCGGGGAGGAGGGCGATGAAACAAGGGCTATGGCATTCGTGGGGCTAACGTATTACGGCGAGGAAACTCGCCTCAAGGCAAATCCGTCATTCACTTTTGCGACGGACTATGCAAATCACACCGACTGCAGGTGCGGTCCAGCTATGCCGCTGAGGCACTTGCAGCGACACACAATTTTGATGAATGTTATCCCACGCTCATCGCTCTTCACGAGCTCAAGGCAGGGGCACTTACTCCGCGACAACTACGAGATATGCGTGAAGTTGGAGGCCTAGCTATCAAAGTAACCCTTTCTATAGACGCTGAGTCTGTATACAAATCGCTATCCAGCAAAGATCTTAAGACACCGACGGAACGGACTTTGCTGGGACAGATCAGCTGGATACGTGAGCTCATGGATATAGGTATAGTGCATAACGCACTGTGGTGTGACACTAGAGACATGACCGCAGATGGGCATACAAAGGGGAGTGTCGATCGGGAGCTGCTTTTGCAAGTGATGTCAGGCACTCCGTCATTTAAGTATGACGTGAAGCAATTTGTTCCCTTTCGTGGCCCCGAGGACATAAACAAGCCTAAGTCGAATCAGTTTTAGTCTGTCCTTGTTGCCCCCGCGGTCCAGTTTGCCAGCACGGGCGCCTAATACAGAGGCGCCCTCTTAGCTGCTCGGAAACGAGCCATGCTTTTCACGCTTGGCAACGAGCCTGTTCAGCTTGGTTCAGGCTCCTTGCTTTAATACCCTTTTGCCTGGGGGGAAATGCCTGTTTGGCTTACCTCTAGCCGGGCCGATAGCCCTTGTATATCTAAGGGGCTATCCTGCGTGCGCGTGGAAAAGTTGTGCGGGGAAACTCGCCGGCGAATAATCTCGCCCTTCAGTCTGGTGGTAGGCCAGACTTTGCGTACTGTTTTTCTTGCAAACAGTTGTGCGCGCGGCCTTTCTTGAGCCTAGCGGCTGCGCGGTTTTACTCTCCGTCTCCTCCCCTCCCGACTTTAAGGGTAGCTCTTTGGGAGATGTTATAGAGGATCGGGAGTATATCCTGCGCGCCGTTGCCTTTGGCTCAAGGCACGCGCGCCCTATTTGCCCGGACGCTTACCTTAGTGTTCGCTATGTGCTGGAAAGATCACTACATCGATCTTATCCGATCCTATCCATCCACCCTCCATACCGAAGGAATACGACGTGGGATTGGATGCTGTATCAGATGCCAGAGTCATTTCAGACTCAGCGCCGATCCGAGAAGTCTGCGTGCACCTCCGAGTTTTTATGTTAATGCCATTTTTTGTTCCCCCATTCTCAACCGTCACTTCCTATGACGGACCGTGCGAGCGCAAAGACATGGATCGGGGGCGACGCTCTCCGAGGGAACACAGGGGCCCCCCGACAGCAACCAGCCCCTAGCGCACGGGTGCCGGACAGCCCCGCCCCGCCCAGGAGCTTGCGGATTTGCAGCCGGGGGCCTATATCAGGAGGGGAAAAAACACACAGACACAATTAATCGTCGACCCCCCGGAAAATATGCGAAGATATGGGAAGTGGAGGGGTGCAAAACCCCAGAAAATATTGGAAAATATGGGGCATATTTTTACTTGTGTGTATTTATTTGCGTGCTCTGGGGCCCCTTTTCTATCGCCGATCCGTCGGCGATGTATCGCCGACTCCACGTCGACGCTTGCCCCCCTGGGCCGGTTCCCCGTATCGCTTCCCTTCAACACTGAAGAAGTGCATGGTCAAAAGGGGCAGGTGTGGGGTGGGCTGCGGAGAGGGTGAGGTGATCGGACAGCCTACGGAGGTGTACGACTCCATCATCACCGCCGAATTATCATGCTCGGTGCCTTTGCTGATGCCGATCTGCGCCTTGTTGGCATCCGTCGTGCGATTGGTATGGTATGGTGACAAGCTCATTGTCGTCGCGACCAGTCTGGATGAGCCACCGGCTCGTTCCTGTTCCTATCCCTGTCCTCCTGGGGAGGGGGGAAGAGGAAAAATGATAACCGCAGGAAAGATGATAACCGCTCCTTCGTCCTCTTGGGAAAGGACCCCGCGGCGGGACGCGGAGTGGTTCGTTTGGGCAAGGTCATCGTCGCACCTTCCAGCCAAGGGAAGCGCGGGAAGTCCAGAGTCGTCGGGCGATGAGGACCAATACGCACATGCACCGGTCCTGTCAGGCCCATCCTGGGCCCGTCATCGGTGCAGATGCAAATCCTGGAGAGTTCCATCCTCTTCGGTCTACGGTGGGGGCAGGAACGTGCCCATGAGTCGTCAGACCCTGGAGGTTTCCTTATCTGATGAGGGCGGCGGTGATGTCTGTGGCCTGTCCACGACTGTAGTTCCACATGCTACTTGACCCCAGATTCCTTATCCAAGAGTTCCTCATCCAATACAGTCGGGGGTTATAGAGGAGCAACGCCCGTCACCTGCCCCCGCGGCTGGACCAGAGCCATGGGTCGTGCACGGCCACAACATTATGCAGACCAACGTGGTGAGCAAGCCGAGCGAGGCCATCCTGGTGTGCACGCGCTGTTTCATGTACTGCCACCGGCCGCGGTATGCGCACAGGGGCCTGGCCAAGCCGTGTGTCGGTGGCGATCACAGATCGAGCCAAGGGTCGCGTGCTCAGGCCAGGACTGACTTCGGCAGATTGCGATTGCCAGGCAAGGAGAAACCGCCGATCGTGATGCTCAAGTCGCCGACGATGGAGGAGATGCAGCGCTGGCGAAGGTCGCTCAAGGTGGACGACCTCGACTGGCCCAACCCCCAGGTGGGCGAGTTCCTGGCGGCGGCGCGGGCTGGCGGCCCAGGAGGCTCGCCCAGGCCTGCGGCTGCACAGCCTGCGGCGGGGCGTGCTGCTGGCGCGGCGGGGCCTGCGGACGGTGCGGCGGCGGCTTCGGCGAGCGCCTCGGCGGCCGTGGGCGCAGCGGCGGTGCAGCCCGCGGTGCGCGCAGGCTTGCAGGAGCTCTCCGTGCCCGACCTGGAGGGCGTCATCCGCGCGCACGGCTTCGCGTCGGCGGACGACGCACGCGCCCGTGGGCGAGAGGCAGCCCAGGTGCGCGGGGAGTGTGACCGCGCGATGGAGCGCGGCGAGGCGGTCCCGCGAGCGGCGAGGAGGCGGGGCCGACGCTGGTGAGCGCCCCCCTCGGCCGCCGTGGGGCCCGCGGCAGTCCCGCGCCGTTTGCGCGGGCCTGCGGCCCGCTGAGAATTTGTGGCATGACCACGCGGGGGCTCGCGCCCGCTCGAAGAGTAAAAAAATACAGTCGGGGCGCTGAGGAAGGAACCCTTTTCGTTGGGGAGGGGCTCGGTGTTCCCTAGGTGTTTTGCAGTTCGCCTTTGGTTTTCCTGAGGTTTTCCATGGGGAATCGAAGCTTAACTTATTGGGAAAAAAGGGGCCTCGTTTCTTATTTAGGGTTCCTTAGGTCAACGCCCCGACTGCACCATCGCCGTATCGCGGGAGCCGGAGGCACAGCTTCAGGATCGCGCATCCACGGGGTGCGGTTCAGGATCCAGACCGCCACGGGGATGGGCACGGACGATGTGCTGCTTGCGCGTTACAGTCAGGGCGCTGGGGAAGGAACTCTTTTCTTTAGGGAGGGGCTCCGTGTTCCTTAATTGTTTCACAGTTTGCTTTACGTTTTCCTGAGGTTTTCGATAGGAAATCGAAGTTCAACTGCTGGACAAAAGGGGCCGCGTTTCTTATTTAGGGTTCCTTAGGTCAGCGCCCCGACTGTACTGGCCAGGGCTCCCTGACCCCCCCGAGGAGCGAGGAGCGAGGAGGAGGAGGAGCAGAAGGAGGAGGAGGAGGAGGAGGAGGAGGAGCAGGAGGAGGAGGAGGAGCGGGTCCTCCGCGCGTCTGGTCGCTTTCTCTTTCTCGTGGCCCGTGGATGCCCGATGCCGTGGAGCTTCCGCCCGCGGCGATCCTGCTGGCCCTGCCGGTGGCCGAAGCCCCACGGGCTGCTGGGGGGGGGGCGGAGGGGGCTCCGCCCCGCGGGAGGCGCGGGAGGCGACGTCTTTGCCGACTACCCCGAGGTCGCGCCCGACGCCCCGCTTCGAGGCCCCGGCGGCGGCGGCGGCAGCCGCGACGACCACGGCGACGGCGGGTCGGCCACACTCGAGCAGTGGCGAAGCGTCCTGGCTCGCCCGTAGCCCTGCCAGACAATGTTCTGCGAGCCTTTTTGTGGTTTCCGCGAGATGTCCTCTGAACATGCCTGATTGGGACCGTCCTGTTTTCACACATCGGGTTACGGTTCTAAGAACATGGTTCCCCACCTAGGCTCTGCCCAGAGGGTTCTTACCCTGTATCTTAAAGGGGCCGGGCAGTGGAACACGCCCCGGGCGGTTCCCCCAGGATCCGCTCCGCGGTTCCCCCAGTTGCGTCTCCTTAGCTTAGCGTTGCTTATCTCATCTTAGCTTAGCTTATTTCATCTTAGCTTAGCTTCATCTTAGTTCAGGTGTATCTTTGCTTAGCTGACCTTCATCTTAGCTTTGCTGAGCTTTAGCATAGCAGAGCACAGCAGAGCATAGCGTAGCATAGCATAGCGCAGCGCAGCATATCATAGCATAGCCCAGCATAGCATAGCATAGCGCAGCATAGCATAGCATAGCATAGCGCAGCACAGTACAGCACAGCATAGCACAGCGCAGTATAGCATAGCAGAGCAGAGCAGAGCAGAGCATAGCATAGTTTTTTATCGAGCGGAATTCCGCCGGCCCACCTCCCGCATGGCACCAGGGACAGATTACCATCCTAAAAGAGAACCCTGGGCCGGCGCCCTTTCTGGGAACAAGCGTTTCGCTCGAGACATCCTCCAAAATAACTCCGCCGGCCCTCTTCGACTTCGTTTTTTATCGCAGAATAATCCCGCCGGCCCCCTTCAAGTCAAAACCGGGGGGTAAAGCTACTAAAAGAGAACCCTGGGCCCGCGCCCTTTCCGGGAAAAGTGCCCCCCCAATGGTTATGAGATCCGGAGTACCTCGGGCGTCCAACATCCCAAGGTTCAGAGAAGGAAAGGGTACCCATACCGCTATCCTTCCCTCGATTCCCCCTTTTGGGGGGCCTCTTGGGAGGCCCTCGTCGCCACCGCTGGATTCGCCTCGAGTTTCTGGTCAGATGGTCAGAACGCACCCTGGGAGAGGTCCAGGGCGCCGTGCCGCCCAGAGCGGACACGCGCAGAAGGGGGCATGGGGAGAGGGGAAAGGCTTCTGGGAAGCACCCTTGCTTCTTGGAAGGCGCGGGGCGTGTCTGTAGGTGTATGGAAGGTTCGCGTCGTGTCGACCGGCGGCGCCGCCAGCGGTCAACGTTGAAAGCCGCCGGCGACCTAGAATCGGTCGTTGTTGAAAGATCTGAAGTTTCGGAAACGGCCAACCGTTCAAGGTTGAACGATCCCCGCCCCGCGGTGTCAGGAACCAACGCCTGGGTCGTCACGACACGAACCTTTCATAGGGCCAGCGCCTTCTAAGAAGCCCTTCCCCCCTCCCCGTCCCCCCCCGTTCCGCGCCGCCAGCATGTAGCTCGGGCGCCCGACCCTCCAAAGCGGGGGAGCCGCGGCACCCACACCTCCAAGGTGCTGACCAAAGATCAGGGCGGGCGGAGGTTTTTCGTCGCCTCTGCCTCCTCCTCCTCCTCCTCCTTCTCCTCCTCCCCTCGCCGGGTCCAGGGACCGCCGTCGAGAACGATGGCGGGATCGCCCGTGCCCCGTGGGCCCACGTGGGTGTTCTGCAGCCGGAGTGCACATTTTCGCCCCTCTTCTGTTCGGCCTTGGCACCGCGCACATCGGCGCACTTGAAGGGAGGGGGGGGGGGGAGGAGCAAGAGGCTGGGTGGGAAGGGGAGGGGTGCCGACGGGGGCCGACGAGTGTCGGGGACCCGGGAAGGGGTCCCGAGCTCCGAGGGCCCTCGATTGCAAAACTACGGCATCGGAGGTCTGGTTCCCCGGCTCTGCGACCACTCGTGAGCGCCCCATCCCTGCGGGCCCAACCGACGCTGGTCAGAGCCCCGAATCATCAGGGGTAACTCGGGTCAGGGATAACTCGGGTTCGTTTTTCGGGAGTCCGAACCCGAGTTACCCCGGACCCGAGTTACCCCGGATAACTCGGGCGTCCAGAGCCCCGAATCATCAGGGATAACTCGGGTCAGGGATAACTCGGGTTCGTTTTTCGGGAACCCAAACCCGAGTTACCCCGGACCCGAGTTACCCCGGATAACTCGGGCGTCCAAGCTGGGGCATCGGACACCCTCCCGCTGGGGCCCACCTGGCTGCAGGATCATCCGTCTGCGTGGCTTTTTGCCGTTTTCGAGTTCTCGGGGGCCCTCCCCAGACCCCCAGGGCCATCAGCGAGGCGACTCGGGATGAAGAAGCTGGCCCCGGGGAAAGCCCCCTGGGACAAGGACCCGTCTCCACCAGGGCCCCCGTCCATGATGCCAGCCTGCCTCCCTCCCATTGGCAAGTCCTGCGCCATTTTCACGCGTGGCAGGTTCCCGAAGTCTTCCGCAAGGCCGCACGGGCAATCCGCAAAACCACTTCAGCCTCAAGGCAGCCCGGGCGCCGTGAAGCCCTCGGCGCGCAGCTGGGCGCGGTGAGATCATCCTGTCGTCCTCGTGGCCGCGGCGCCGCTTCGAGGACATGCGCTGGACCGCGGCGCCGCTCGCGGCCTGGGCCGCGAAGGCTGCGAGGGGAGAGCCGGCGAGCGGGAGCGAGGACGACGTCTCGCCTTCGGGTCCGTGCCAGGCCGCGCTCGCCGGCTACTGCCCGACGGTCCCCCCCGGCGATGGCCGGCTGACTCAGTGCCTGATGAACGCCTGCGCCAGGGATGGTAGAGTCGAGGGCTTGCTCCAGAAGAACGGCGTCACGTCCGAGTGCAAGATGGAGTTGACCATGGTGAGGCGGAAGCCCCTGCGCGCAGGTGCGAAGTCGAGCCCCCCCGTGGGGTGTCGCTGGCGTCCACGTCGCAGGCCGAGGTCGCCCGCGTGAGGGATGCGGGGATGCTCTGCGCGGGGTCCACGGGCGCCGCACTGCCCTGCCTCCAGGCGCACAGGGGCCGAGCTGTCCGAGGGGTGCTCGAAGCAGCTCTTCCTCGTCGAGCAGCTGACGGCGGGCGACGGGAGGCTCACTGCCCCGAGGATCGTAAGTCAGGAGGGGAAAAAACACACAGACACAATTAATCGTCGACTCCCAGGAAAATATAGGAAAATATGGGAATTTGGACGGGAAGACAAGAACCCAGAAAATATAGAATCATTTTATTTGTGTGTATTTTTTGTGTGTCCTTGGGCCCCTTGAGTAAGGCGGACCTCGAAGACCCGAACGCGCGCGGCAAACCGGGCCCCTCCATAACCAGGGGTCGATCCGCACGGTGCGCTGGCGATGTCGTGGGCCGTCCTCGTTCTGATCTCGCCGCGCAGCAGAGGGGGAACGAGGAAGGTCCGAAGGAAAACAACAACAGCACGAGAACGAAAAAAACGCTGTTTTGGTCGAAACCGAAACAGAAACGAAAAACGACAGGAAACAGAAACAGCACGAAAACGAAAAAAACGGAAAAAACGAAAAAAAACGAAAACGAAAAAAACGAAAAAAACGAAAAAAAAACGAAAAACGAAAAAAACGAAAAAGACGGTCCCCAAGCGCGCACGGTGCCTCGTTGGCGCGGCAGCGGGACGCGCTCTCCGAGGGGGGCGCAGGCCGGCCCTGGCCCACGTCGAGGCGGCGGGCTCCCATGCGGGGGGGGCCAAATCGGCTCCTCCTCCTCCTCCTCCTCCTCCTCCTCTCTCTCTCCTCCTCCTCTCCTCCTCCTCCTCCTCCTCCCTCCTCCTCCTCTCCTCCTCCTCCTCCTCCTCCTCCTCCTCCTCGAGGGGGGGGGGGTCCATCGGCGGTGGCGGCGGCGGGCATCGACGAGGAGACCAAGCTCAGGAGGAAAAAAAACACACAGACACAATTAATCGTCGATTTTCCAGAAAATATGGGAAAATATGGGCAGTGGGGGGGAAGACAAAAACCCAGAAAATATAGGAAAATATGGGGAATCTTTTTATTTGTGTGTATTTATTTGTGTGTCCCAGTTTCCCTTCACAAGCGCATGTGCGGGGATAAGATGAGAGAGTTCTGCAGCGGCTGGACGCGGGCGGAGATGCCCTCCTGCGTCGAGCTGCACATGAAGGATCTGCCCGCAGAGTGCCACGCGGTGACGTGGTCGTCAAAGTCGCGCTAGCGCGCTGCTGAGACCCGATAGGGCCACAGATCCTGGCCTCAGAACACAGACACAGGCAGGCACGGCTTGCGAAAGAGAGAAGGCCGTGTGAGGCCCGATTCGGCGCCTCGCGCTACGGGCAGCATTGCTGACCGAGACAGGGCCGTCGACAGGAACATGATCGACCCACGAACCCGGAAAGGAATATAGAAATGTAGAGCATGGCAACGTTTCCAAGACACCTGATTGGGCGACGGGCAAATGCAATGCCGAATGTATCGATTTTGATGTACCGTGCCGAGGGCTGTGCTGTGCTGCGCCGTGCTGATGCTGAACTGCGATGTGACATGCCGCGAATGTGCTCTATAGCGTTGTGGATCGAGTCCTCCTTTGCACCCGAGTCCTGACCGAACTGATCTGGATCTTAAGCTCGAGCTGCCTCAGCACATGGTAGCTGCCCTAGAGCTAATTGACAGGGGAACATGCCAGGAGGACGCGCCGCGGAACGTCCCGAGGGACGCGCCAGGCGACGTGCCAAGGGACGTGCCACGAAGACGCACCGCGGGACGTGCCGAGGGGACGCGCTACGGAAAGTGCCAATGGACGTGCCAATGAACGTGCCAGGAGACGCGCCGCGCGACGTGCCAGGGGGACTCACCACAGGACGTGCCACGGAACGTGCCAGGTTGCAATGCTGAGTGTATCGATCTTGATGTACCGTGCCGAGGCCTGTACTGCGCTGCGCTGTGCTGAACTGCGATGTGCCATGCCGCGATTGTGCTCTATAGCGTTGTGGATCGAGTCCTCCTTTGCACCCGAGTCCTGACCGAACTGATCTGGATCTTAAGCTCGAGCTGCCTCAGCACATTGTAGCTGCCCCAGAGCTAATGGACAGGGGGACATGCCAGGAGGACGCGCCGCGGAACGTCCCAAGGGACGCGCCAGGCGACGTGCCAGGGGACGTGCCACGGGGACGCACCGCGGGACGTGCCGAGGGGACGCGCTACGGAAAGTGCCAATGGACGTGCACCGCGCGACGTGCCAGGGGGACTCGCCACGGGACGCTCCGCGGAATCTGCCAGGCAACATGCCAGGCTGCAATGCTAGGGGTATCGATATTGATGTACCGTGCCGAGGGCTGTGCTGTGCCTGGGCGACCTGGACACGTGAAAACACGCGTTGCGCTCAAGACGTTCTCAGCACATCCTCATGCTAGACATCCGCCTGGGCAACCTGGACACGTGCAAACAAGCGTCTCGATCCAGACTTTCTCGACACATCCTCAAGCTAGACATCCGCATGGGCGACCTGGACACGTGAAAACAAGCCTCTGGTACGAGACATCCTCAACACATCTTCATGCTAGACATCTGTCTGGGCAACCTGGAGGCGTGAAACCAAGCGTCTCGCTCGAGACATCCTCAAGACCTGGGCACGTGAAAACAAACATTTCACTTGAGAGATCCTCTGAATTCAGGTCCCCAGGAGAGGACAAGCTATAACACAAAACAAGCGTTTCGCTCGAGACATCCTCAACAATTTCTGAAAAACAAGCGTTTCGCTCGAGACATCCTCAAATTTGAATTCGCCGGCCCTACTCCCGCACGTAATTCATCGCAGAATAATTTCGCCGGCCCAAGTCGCAGGGGGGCCGGGGGGTTAACCTACTAAAAGAGAACCCTGGGCCCGCGCCCTTTCCGGGAAAAAACAACATGATGGACCCACGAACCCGGAAAGGGATATAGACATGTGGAGCACGGTCACGTTTTCACGATACCCAACTGGGCGACACCTCAAGAAACATCCCACGAGACCCCCCGCGAAACATCCCACGAGACACCTCACGAAACATTCCACGAGACACCTCACGAAACATTCCACGCGACACCCCGCGAAACATTCCACGAGACACCCCACGAACAGGCAACCACTCAACCAAAGCACATCGCGGACGAGGACGACGACGGCATTCCACGAGACACCCCACGAAACATTCCACGGGAGTGCGACTGGGTGTGGTCGTGCTGTGGTGTGGTCGTGCTGGGGTGTGGTCGTGCTGAGGAGTGGTCGTGCTGGGGTGTGGTCGTGCTGGGGTGTGGTCGTGCTGGGGGGTGGTCGTGCTGGGGGGTGGTCGTGCTGATGGGGTGGCCGTGCTGGGGGGTGGTCGTGCTGGGGCGTGGTCGTGCTGGGGCGTGGTCGTGCTGGGGTGTGGTCGTGCTGTGGTGAGGTCGCGCTGTGGTGAGGTCGTGCTGGGGTGTGGTCGTGCTGGGGTGTGGTCTTGCTGGGGTGGGGTCGTGCTTGGGTGGGGTCGCGCTGTGGTGAGGTCGTGCTGGGGTGTGGTCGTGCTGGGGTGGGCTCGTGCTGGGGCGGGGTCGTGCTGGGGAGTGGTCGTGCTGGGGCGTGGTCGTGCTGGGGTGTGGTCGTGCTTGGGTGGGGTCGTGCTGGGGTGTGGTCGTGCTGGGGTGTGGTCGTGCTGGGGTGGGCTCGTGCTGGGGTGGGGTGCGGGGTGCGTGCTGGGGTGTGGTCGTGCTGGGGTGTGGTCGTGCTGGGGTGTGGTCGTGCTAGGGTGGGGTCGTGCTGGGGTGGGGTCGTGCTGGGGTGTGGTCGTGCTGGGGTGTGGTCGTGCTGGGGTGTGGTCGTGCTGGGGCGTGGTCGTGCTGGGGTGGGGTCGTGCTGGGGCGGGGTCGTGCTGGGGTGTGGTCGTGCTGGGGCATGGTCGTGCTGGGGTGTGGTCGTGCTGAGGCGGCCCGCACCCTGTGATTTATCGAGCGGGATTTCAAAAACAAGCGTTTCGCCTGAGACATCCTCAAAGTTTAATCCGCCGGCCTCCTTCGACCTCGATATTTATCAGGGAAAGAATCCGCCGGCCTCCTTCAAGTTGGGCACGGGGCGATATGTTTACATACTAAAATCTAAAAGAGAACCCTGGGCCTACGCCCTTTCCGGGAAAAACAGGGCCAAACGGGCAATTCGCCAGCGAGGGCCTCCTCTCTGAGTGGTCGTCTGCGGATAACTCGCACCCCTCAGATGGTTCCCACTCCTACTCCTACCCCTGCCCATTACCGCGAGCTGGCCCATCCTGATCGCTGAGCGTCGCCCGCTCGCGGCACAAGGTTTAAATCGGGCCTGTCCCTCTACAGGAGGTGTGTATATATATATATATATATATATACATGTATGTAGATGTATGTGTATATATGTGATAGAGCGCGCGCGTGGGGCCCGATAGACTGAAAGGGGGGCCCCAGCTTGAAGCTACCCCCCTCCCCCCTTCCTTGCTAAAGGGGGGGGGGCTTCGGAAGCCCCCCCCCCTCCCCCCCTTTTCGTGGTCCGGAAAGGGGGGGGGGGCTTCCAAGCTACCCCCCCTCCCTCCCTCTAATTGAGCCGGGGTGAGCCACCCCCCCTTTGAAAGGGGGGGGGGGGCTTCGGAAGCTACCCCCCCCCTCCCTTTTCGTGGCCGGAAAGGAGGGGGGGCTTCCAAGCTACCCCCCCCCCTCCTTTTAAATGGAGCTGGGGTGAGCCACCCCCCCCTTTGAAAGGGGGGGGGGGGCTTTGGAAGCCCCCCCCCCCTCCCTCCCTTGGTGCAAAAGGGGGGGGGGGCTTGAAGCCCCCCCCCTTCCCCCCTTTGGCCGCCCAGCTCCCGGAGCCATCGCCCTCCCTTTCGCTTCCATTTATTCCCGCCCCTCTCCCTCCTCTTCTTCCTTTTGCCTCCTCCTCTTCCTCGTCCTCCTCATCCTCCTCCTCCTCATCATCATCATCATCATCACCATCACCATCACCATCACCATCACCATCACCATCATCATCATCATCATCATCATCATCATCATCATCATCATCATCATCATCATCATCATCATCATCACAACTAATCAGCTTTATCTAGTCCTTGTCCTGAAGCCAGTTTCCTGCGAGTCTCCCGAATTCCGTCTGTAGACATATGTAACCCTCGCTCCG